CCCCTCCTCCCCGGGGTGGGGGCTTCTGCATCAGAAGGCCTGGTTGGAGGGGAGGTGACCGGCACCTCTGTCCCTTTAAGTAGGAAGGGCTTTGCTGTCATGAGAAGCAGTGCGGGCCACTGGTGGAGGTCATCCAACCCTGGTTATCCATCCCAGTTCATTTGTCATTTTGTAGTGACAATTCTCACTTTTGTCCAGGAATCTCCAGAGAGGTTTTAAAAAATTATGACTAAGACTCAGTCCATGCTGGCGGCTTCCACAGACTGAAAAATTTTACTCCCCCAAAGCCGGGTAGCTCCGTGGATTGGGAGGAGCCTTATGTAACATCTATAACAGCAACCAGGTGTCCCGATCGTCCCACCCCGGGGCTCCCTCCCTCCCATCCGTGGGTGCTCCCCGGCTTCCCGGCTCCACTGCCCCAGGCTCGGGCGGAGCTCGCACCCTCTTGGGGTTTCTGCCGCTTCCTGATGAGCCCTGGGTGCTGCTCCCAGCCCAGGCCTTGGCGACGACTTCCCTGGTTCAGTTTCCTCGCTCGGCGGCTGCTGCCTTCCTGGGCCCTGCTCTGCCCTCTGCCTCTCTCCCACACCCACCCAAACGTTGAACGTGGCTCCCTTTCCACGAGACAGCCTGTCACAAGACGGCGGCACTTGGCCGACTTTCTTCGGCTCCAGTTGATGGGGCAGAAGGTCCCAGAGCAGTGACCTATGTGTGAGTTTCCTTCTCAGGCCCCGGTCCCCTGCTGTGCTGCTGGGTCCTCTTTGGCTCCTGGGAACTGGTCTTATCACTCCTGGGTCTTCTCCCATTTCTGCTCCCCTGGTCACCCCGCCCCTCTGCTGGGCTGCCCTGAAACCCTCACATCCCTCCCACTGTGTTCGGCTTCTCAGTTTTCCCATCTCACCCTGTGCAGGCAGCCTGCACCCAGGGGGCCTCCCCCACTCCACCAAGTGGCCCCTCAAACCAAGGAGGATATTTCATCCTCGAGGAAGAAAGGAAGAGGCGACAGTGTGCAGCAGAGCGGAAGGACGTCATTCTTCTCTAAGGCAGCAGTGGCCACGATCAATAGTTTGAGTATTAGCTTTATTTCTCGCTAAGCTGTGTTACGTACTTCCAGGCTAACGTCACGCAGGTTCTCTGTTGCACCGGGATTTAGGTTCAAATACTAAGTGCCTATTATGTGCCAGACATTCTAGTGGATACTACAGATGCAAGCATGGGCAAGACAGGCTGTTCCCTGAACTCAAGCAGTGGACACTGACAGCCACGTGAGGATTAGAAAGAGCCCAGAATGTGTTTAGCTCCTCCACATCCAAAGACATCCTATTTTGCCTCTCTGGAAATTCAGGGTGGGTGGGTATGTTAGGCCTAGAGAAGAGCTTGTGTCTCACAAGCTTGGAGACCGCAGACTACCTCTGCCTCTGCCTCTGGCCAGGGGTTGGTGGCCGGTGCTGGGGACACAGCTTCACCATCTGGGTGGTGGCTGGAGAAGCAGCGAGAGAGAAGCTGGGCCCTGAGAGAGACCAAGGCTGGCAACACAGAACACTCCAGAAGCAGCAGCATTGCGTGCCGGTTTCTGTTCTGTGACCAATTCTATGGACAAAGTGTGATGCCCCCCAGTTAAGTGCATGGGAGCCACAAAAGCCACATGTGGCGTGATTGTGGCTTTCAGCTGTTGTGTTCTTATTATTGTGGTCAAGCAGAGAGGCTAAGCACTGTTCAGAGAAGAATGATCCTGTGCTGGCTAAATGCTAAAAAAAACAAACCAGGAAGCAGTTTAAGGCGGCCTCAGGGAGAGGAACCAGCCCCTTCCCTGGCTCCCCTGAAACTGGCTGAGTGAGAAACTATTGGCCTTTTATCCTGTGTTTTAAAATTCCATGTGCTTTACTTTCATTTCTTCTAGAACACGTTGCTGTGCTTTCTTTTCTACTTTTAAAAGGCATGAAAATAAAATCACTGGTTAATGACAAAGAAGCCGCCTAAAACTTTGGTTCTGACCAACATGTGGTCTAGACCAGGGCTTCTCAAACTGACTGGCAGGAATTCCCTGGGGATCTTGTTCAGATGCAGATTCTAATTCAGTAGCTCGGGCAGAGCCCGAGATCCTGCGTTTCTGGCAAGCTCCTGGGTGATGCGAAGCTGCCGGCCTGCGGACCACTCTGAGTGGGGAGTGTCCACGGTCTGATGGGTCTACCAGCGCTGCGTCCACAGTTCTGAGTCACGATGTACGGGACAAGGACAGCAGGAACATCCAAGACAAGGACAAGAGACATATCAGGGACCAAGAGAGAAATAGCATTTTTTTTTTTCCTGGGCTCTTCCCAAGGCTGAATGGAGTCCGTGCTCCTGTGCCTGGCTCTGGGCTACTGTTGTTCCATCTCTCCCCTGCCAGATGCCCTGCGCCCCTGGAATATGCTCGTCCTTGAAGGATGGAGCCACTTCTCCAAGACCCTTTCCAGTTAGTAAGAAGAGCAACTCTGAGTCCCAAGATAGAATCTGACGTTTTCTTGAACCAAAGTTCTATGACCTTGGTCTAGGGGAGGATTACTCTCTTCATACGGCAAAAGAGTAAATAGGATTTATAACAGGCCTGGTTGTTACCATATTTATTCTTCACAATGAATCTGTAAGTTTTTCCTATCTCCATCTACAGATGGGGAAACTGAGGCTCTGAGAGAAATCAGGTAACGTGTCCAAGGTCATGCAGCTGGTCATTTGCAGAACTGACTCAACAGCCTGAGATCCTGCCTCCACATCTAACATTTAAATATGTATATATTTAAAAAGCTTGGAGCTCACCTGGATTTCAGAGTATCTGAAATTCACTATTTCTGACCCTGCTACCAAACAGGGTGACCCTAAATTACTACAGAAAAGAGATGAGACATTAAGTACCAGGCAAAACTTATTAAATAGACCAGTGGATTTACCCTAAGGAATTTTTTCAATTTCAAGGGCAAAAGAAAAAAAAAATGTAAGCTTTCAGGAAAATTACCACAAATGAATGCATACCAGTGTGCCTTTAGGTTTCTCCTCCATCACATGAAACAGAAGAGGTAACAATGACATCTGTATAATTTTAGGGGAAATGTTTATGAACTACTGATTTCACATTCAGCCAAGTTATGGTCACCCATGCAAAAAATTACCAGACATCCTAGACCTCGGAAAGTCAACTATCTACATGTCCTACCTAAAAAAATTACCTGTAGAAGAAGCCAGTCAACTGATAATGAAGTAAACAAATAACTTAAGAATGGGAAAGAGAGACCAGCTTACTGAAGTGGTTAAAAAAAAAAAAAAGAATGAGAACGATACAGTATAAGTGTATAGGTCTTAAACTACAAAACCAGTTAAATATAAGTGAATCTAAATAATTATTGCTAATGTGGTTGTAACATTAATGTAAACACTAAAATAATTATTGAAAGAGAAGATGTAAATTGTTAATAATAATAACTTAAGCCAAAAAAGCTGGGAATGTTTGGAAGAAGAATAAAGTAAGTAATATACTAAATATTGTACCTTACACAAGAGAAAGGCAACAGGTATAATTTCATTCTTGCTATTAATAATTAGATAAAAATGAATTCAAATTATTGTTAACCAATAACATAGTAAGAGAGGATACATTGCATTTTTCCTCTAAATTTTTATAAGAGGAAATAATGAAACAGATCAGAAAAATATACATCAAAATGTACACAGTCACTGCCCCTAAATAGTGGAATTGTGCATGATTTTTACTTTTCTGCGTGTTTTCCAGATTTTATACAATAAACATGTATTATTTTATAATGTAAAAGCAAAAGCTACAGAACTATTATAGGAAAAATTTGCTCCTTTTTCAAAACTATGCATACGTCTAATAAAGCAGCTTTACACAGTTCACCACATCAAATAGCCGTGCTAACGAGGTCCCTCCCTTTTTAGTCATCTGTAGTCCCAGTGTGAAGTTCATCTGTTTCAAAATGTCAAACGAGGGAATGAATAATTGATGTATCTGGAAACTTCTATGAATATATCAGATGACCTTTGCTTTTGCCAATAGCATCAGATGAAGGGAAAACTTAATTACCTTACAATGAGATCTGTGATCACGCAACCACCTGGACAGAACTTTCTCCTAAAAGCATTTCATTTTTAGCTCTTTGCAAGTCATAATTACCATCATCACCACCACCACCACCACCACCATCATCACCATCATCCTCACATCTGTCTTTTATTGGCACCTATCCTGTGCCAGGCCAGGTACCTAATATCGCACACGTGCTTCCCTGTCAATTCTCACTGCAGTGCTGGGAGGCAAGAATGCTTGCCCCACTTCTAGTACCTGAGGAGACAGCTCAGAGAGGTTTAATTGCCTGTCTGATGACTGGCCATGACTCAGTGATTTTAAAAACATTTTATTTTAATAATCAAAGAGATGCTACTCACTTTCAGGGGTAAGAGGAAAGAAAGAAAATGCCTAATTCCCCTGCCCTCACACAGCTGTATAAGGCAGCAGGCAATTATAGTACTGCAATTCATTCATTCATTCATTCATTCATTCATTCATTCATTCAGTAGGATCCTCAGCAAATACTTGGTACCCGATTAGGGGGAGGAAAAGCCCTGGGAACTATGAGGTCTGCACAGACCAAAAAGGCAAGTTTCCTGGACAAATTTAGGAGAGGAGATAAAACAAGTGTAACTACAATGCAAGTCAAAATATGGCAAATATGCTAATAAAGACCAATGCAAGACGCTATGAGAGTTTGAAGAAGGAACTACCCGTTGGGAGTGACACAGGTTGAGGGAGGTCTCCATGGACAATCCTCTGTTTACTCACTGCACTGAGCAGTGACACAGAACACTACGGGTGCAGGGAGCAACAGTGGCCGGGGGGGACTCCAATCTGGCTGCAGGGAAGGGCAGTCGTGGACAGGGACCCTAAACAGTCACATGGGTTCATGAAAGCCTCCTTAGAGGCTTTAAACCTGATCCCAAAGGTGCCAGGATGTGAAAAGGGAGGACATGACCACTGCTCTGCTTTAGGGACAGTAACCTATCAATGTCGGGGGGGGGGCAGGGGGATTAGATAAAATGGAGAGTGGGGAATGGAATTAGGAAACAGAGCAGCTCAGCCCTGCACACCGAATGAATGGAGAAGCACAGGAGAGACCAGCCCTGCATTCCCAGCCTGGGTGACCAAGGCCCTCATGCTGGCCTAGCTGGCCTGCCACATTCAGGCTCCCCACCACCTCCTGATCGCCTTTCCTTCTTTCCTCCTTCTTGCTCACTGGACTCCAGCCACAGTGGAGTCTGGTGAGCTTTAAACACTGGGCACACTCAGCCACAGTGTCTTTGCACCAGTCCCTCGGCTTAGACGCTCTTCCTCAGATGCTTGCATGGTTCTGCTCTTGTCCCCTTCTAGTCTTTGCCCCAAAGTCCCTTTCCTCCTGAGGCCACCCAACCAGCCCTCCCCTCTCCTCCCCGTTCTCCTTATCTCGCTACATTTCCCTCCACCATGAACATGACTCTCTAACACACTATGTATTTTACTTATTTACAGTCCTCTTAGAGTGTCAGCTCTGTGCAGACAGGGATTTCTGTCCACTGTTGCACCCCCACGGCTGGCGAGGAGTAAGTGCTCATTGCATATTTAAAAGCCAGGATGTCAGAGAGGAAACCCAGCATGGGTAGGAGGAGAGATTAGGGTTTATCTGGAAGCCAGGAGCCAGGTTCAGCCTGGGGGCCTCTCCCATGGAGAGCTAGAGCGGGAGAGAGCGAGAGAAAGACGACTTAGGTTTGGAGGACAGTGAGAAGGCACAGTGAGCCCTGCACCAGAGGGACAGGCTAGGAGCCGGGAACGTCAGGTTTTATAAGTCCAGGGAGGAGAGAGTTTTAAGGAGCAAGTAATCAAATGTGACTCACATTGCAGAGACATCAAAGAGAATGCGAAGGAGGCTTGGGAGCCAGAAGAGGCCGTCTGGGGGTCACTGGTGTCCTTTTGGAGAGGACTTCCAGTCGAGCGGCCCGGGCAGAGACCTGCGCTGTGCAGGGAGTGGCGAAACCCGGCTAGCCCGAGGCGGGACCTGCTCCAAGTGCAAAAACACACAGGACTATGAAGATTTAGAAAAGTCAGGGAAAAAAGAATGCAATATTTCTTATTAATAATTTTATATCGATCACATGTTGAAATGATAATTTCATTTGAAATCTATTAGGTGAAATTAAGGTTAATAAACTATGTTATTAAAACCTTCTTTTTTTTTTTTTTTACTTATTTAATGTGATTTCGGGGAACTTTAAAATTACACATGTGGCTCACATCACATTTCTATTGGACAAAGCTGGGCTGGCCTGCCAGGGCTTAAAAGTTACCAGCATGTATTCAAGTATACTCTTTTTTCTTCCTTCTTCCATCCCTCCCTCCCTCCCTCCCTCTCTCCTTCCATTCTCTCTCTCTCTCCTCACCCCCTATCCCCCCACCCCGGAGTCTTTGTCTCTTTCTTTCTAGAAACAAATGTCTTTTGGCAGCCACATTGTTTTCTGAACGGACATCCAAGTAGTTAATCTTTTGTTCTCAATAAAAAGATGCCTTTCATAATATCAAATCATCAAATTGCTTTAGCATTAAGTTGCCTAGAACTATATAAAAGTCAGTGATATGTAGTCCATTAGCTGTACCAAGTTCTCAACCTCCCCGGGAGAAAAAGCAACTGCATAAATGAGGTTTCTTCTACACTAAGTAGCAAATAAATAAAGGCCTTTGAAGAAACCTCCTACGTGAAGGCCTGGCATTGTAATTACCCAACCCTCCAATTTGGCAAACAGAAGTTTTCTTACAATATAACCACCTCCCAAATAATGGGCCCTCCTGACAGGAGGTAGCAAGACCGTGGGTTGCACGGGTCCAAGACAAAGATGTTACTGATTTGGACACTTGAACAGCTGTTTAAGAAGGCCATTCCCAATGTTCACTCTGGCTGAGGCCAGAAACTGTTCTTGGGCACAGTGAGGTCAGTCTTTAGCCTTTATGCATCTGCTGGTAGTGCAGTGGATTTGCTTAGTTTTCAGAAAAAGAAAAAGATAATATGTTGTTTCTAGTCCCTTCTGATTTCTATGAGAAAATAAAATTCAGTATTGTGATACAATGCTATAGAGCTGTGTGGCTGTCCTCCGTGGAGGAGATAGAGAACTTTGGAACTAGAAAGGACCTATGAGACAATCAATTCTATGGCTGAGGAAATGAACTCACAGAGGCTCCAAGGTGCTGTGGTCACTGGTACCCAGCAGTGGCAGCAGGTTACAGAGACCTCTCCTCTGACCTGCCACTCACTCCCCAAGTGGCTCCTCCCCTCCCTTGGCTCTGTCACCCTTTCCTGGGAGCCTCTGTGTGTGTCAGAACTGCTAAGGTACCCCTGTGCCAGGGGGCCCCTGGTCACCAGAGTAGTCTTTTTCTTGAGTTAATGAAAGGAAAGAGGTTCCTTCCTCAAATATTTATTTAGGAACTTGCGGTTATGTCTTGTAACCAGTTAGCATTTTCTGATCAAGGAGCAGTGACAATAAAAATAAGATTAATTGATGCTCTTTTAGGTCTGCAAGGCTTTAATCCTGGCTGCAGCGCAGAGAAGGAATGGTAGCAGGTCCTGTGGAATGATCCCTTTTCTAAAAAGAAGGAACCTATTTGCATCCAGAATCCTAGCTGGGAGGGAAGACTTGCCTTGGTGTGGACAATGTCACGTCCGAAATGAGCCAGAGTCGGGGTCGGGGTTTTCATTGGCTGCTAATATCTCTGGACATTTCAACGTGGCTGGGTTGGTAAGGGCAGACCTGAGATGAGGGCTCCTGTGCAAATGATTGATCCAAAAAAATCCTCCTGGGACTAGGGGAGCATGATGAGGAAGGGGAAGAATCCAATTTCCAGTCTGGTCACAGCCTCAGCCCAACCCCACAGGGGAGCTCTGGAATACATTTAAGCCTCAGAGTCAGTCCACACTTAGGGCAGTGACACTGGCCTTACGTCTTCTGGACCATGGTCAGTCATTAGTCAAGGCCAACCGGGCAAGGTGAGCTCCCAGGCACCCCCAGCTCTCTGTGAGCACGAGCAAAGTGGCTTGGGTCACCCAGGGCAGTCTTCCACACAGGAAGGGGGTTGGGGGATCTGGGTGTGGCACCATCGTGTCTGTCACACCATAATTTTGGTCTAGATTAAATCTCGACATCTTCTGCTATCACATTTATCTGTCTTCCAGGGTTCTTTACCCTGATATCTGGGTTGGGCATTCACTGGTTTTGATCACCCAATATCCATCCTCCCTTTCTTTTAATCATTGTAATTTAATTATTAAAGTAATTTAGCAATACTAAAGTAACAGTCATTTCAGACAATTATTCTTCTCTTTCAGAGATGACTAACTCAGACCCATGGACGGGCGCATGTGCTCAGAGTCTAAGCAATCTGCAGTCTTCTCTCTGGTCCAGTGATGGGAGCAAGGGAGGCGAGGAGCGGTGAACCAGTGGGCTCTGAGGTCAGGGATGGTGCCTTGGCCAGCAGTCAGATATGGGGAGCAGGGACTACTCCAGTAGGGTTTGAGCAGAAGGGTATTCAACGCAGGGCAACAGGTGCTCATGAAGTCCCTGGAAGGGCTGAAGGAGCAGGTTGGGCCTGAGTTTCGGGAAAGATGCCCGCTGCCCACAGGAAATCAAGCAAGAGGGTGGCGAGTGAGGAGGCCCCACTGGCGTCCCTGCATTCAGAAACATCCCCAGCTGCTGCAATCCAGGGTTCTGAAGCTTCTCGACATTTGAGATGTCAGAGACTGGACATTGGAGCAACTGCCCTTGGCCAGGAGCCACAGCAAGAAAGTAGCTCCCCTCTCACTGCTGCCCTCCCAATCTCACGCCACAGTGCCTGACGGGTGGCACTAATTTGCTCCCAGAACCTTCTAGGGAGGCCGTGGGTGTAGATTTTAGTTTTATAGTCCAGAAGGGGCAGAATGGGCTCAGTGGGCCAGCCCGCTGTGTCCCCTGCCCTCGCTGGGCACAAAGCCCAACTTAACAACCACAGTCAGGGCCATCGAGGGAAGAGAAGCTCTCTGTTTCCTGCTGGATGTGAACCTGAGAAGAAGTAGGTTTGGAATTGCTGGAAGCTGTCTTGACATGCTAGGTGCGAGAATGAAGCCAGCGCATAGTGGAGAAGAGAATCAGTTTGAGAGACCTACGAAGACCCTGTCTTGATGACGTCATTTGGAGGCAAAGCCAGGGGGAGGTGACTTATTCCAGCTCACTTAACAGTGGGGGCTGGAGGTAGATCTAGAACATCAGCCCCCTCACTCCCCTCCAGGTTTTTCCCATCAAGTGGCCCCGGGGCTCTGCTTAGAACCGGTGGCCCCTTCCCTCTGGCCAGCAGCCCTCCTCCCAGCCACTGCAGGGGTTCCGAAGTCCCTGTTTATTAAAGTAGCCGATGGATCTGACCCCTCTGAGCAAGCGGAGCTGCCTGTAGACGGGGCCTTAGCAGAATAGCAGCAGAGCCCAGGTGTGTATGAATAACTCCAGCTCGCCTAGGAGCTCAGCGCTGGCTGTGAAAACACCCTAGGGGCTCCCTCTGAGTGGCACAGTGAAATGTGGCCACACCGGTTTAGGCTATTTTAAGCTTCAGGAACCAAGGGAGGTGAGGCAGGGTGAACCAGTGGGCTCTGAGGGCAGATGAGTTCCAGGCCAGCTTTCTCTGTGCCTCAAGGACACCTGTCACTGTGACCTTGCTTCCTGCAGGAAGGATGGGAAGGGAGGGCCCTCGTGACCTCAGGGGGGGCAGCTGAGAAGGAGCTGGAGGGGGAGGGGCGGGGCACCTGGTCCCGCAGACTCAGTTTAGACAGTGGAAGGGGCGGATGCATTTGCCAGATGCCTAGCATTTTCCTTAAATGCATCAATTACGTTCATTATACCTAATCCTCTCAAAGACTCTTTGAGGTAGGTACAACCATTGTCCCCTTTTGTCACGGGAAGAAACAGGCTCAGAGAAAATGCGCAGCTTGCCCAAAGTCACACGGTGCCGCTGGGATTTGAAACCAGGTGGGTCTGTGCTCCTAACTGCTGCGCTGTGTGGCCTTAAAAAGGCAATGATGATCAGAGTTAACCTTTATGCTACAGATGCTCCTTTCTGCTCCTCCCAGCAGCTCTAGAAGTTCCATATGATCAGCGCCATCTTTCAGATTAGCAAACTGAAGCTCAAAGAGCTTAAGAAATCTGCAGACATGCAGGGACGCACAGCTCACCCACAGCAGTGCCAGGAATCGAACCCGCTCTCTCGTGCTGAGTTCTCCACGGCAAGAACTCTCTCCGGTTCTTACCGCCAGACTGTGCGCAGATTTTCAGTGCTTTGACGCAATTTCACAGGTTCTCCTAGGACAACTACTTCAGTCCCCTCCTCATCTTACACTGAAGAAACTGAGGCTCTCAGAGGTTGGGTGACTTGCCCATGGTCACGCAGCTAACGGCTGGGTGGGCTAGAACCTAGACTCCAAGCTCTTTGGCAGTGCGTTAACACGCTTTTATTTTCTGTGGACTTATATTAGCATCTCAGGGATGTTTTGTCTTTCTTGACGACTAATTGTCATGTGGCAGTGGCTTCTACCACTTTGGCTTTAGGCTTCCGCTCACCTTATCCTCTGTCGCGTAGTTAGTGACTTGGGATGCACAAAGAGGAGACTGAGGCAGGGCCTCTGCAATCGCAGTGGATACTTCTACAAGGAGAAGACTCCTTTTCAAAACATGAACCTTCCTATAATCTACAGTGTTGAGACCATAATCCTTTGCCACTGAACGACGCTGTAATACCTTGGCCACCGCATTACGTCACCCATAGTCCTTTGTCGCTGAAAGACCTGAGCACAGCTACGCTAAGATGCAACAGATCCTGGTAGGTTCCTCTTTATACTTTCTTTACAGACTCTTATTTGGGGCCTGGGAGGTATAAAGCAGTGAGAGAGATAAAAAGTCTAGAATGGGAGAACCAATAGACATTTGATGTGATTTGCTTTTTCTTGAGTACTTTGGATATTACAGTTTTAAATATGATTACAAGTACGGCAGA